CGTGCAGATGAGCTTTGCCAAGCGCGCTTAAACCAGCAAGCCACACCCAATTTGATGTTTCAATCAGAATATCAAACTAGTTTTGCAAGTCTGTAGCCGATAAAAACGATTTATCTCTTTCGCGATTCCGACGCCATGTCCACGCACAATTTGCCACTGGGGGGTCGCGCAATTTTGGCATCGTAATTTGTAGCTTTGGTCTCTGTAAAACTTAGGGCATTGGGTCAATAATGCGGCCAATAGCAGAAAGACGTATATTAACCAGCCGAATCTTGCATTGACAAGGTTGGATGGTGCTAGCTAGCTGTGAAGACGAAAGTGAGCTCAAATCCGAGTTGAGCAATAGCTCAAACGCAATTCCGTATTGAGTATCGTATTTGAGAGGGCTCACCCTAGAAACTCAAAAGAAGACTGAAACTCAACAAAAAACAGGTTGCGAAAGGTCTCTATTGTCTGGGAAAAACCGACGAGGTCGCGACTTCAGGCGGCTACGTTTCTAGCAACACGAAGAACCGACACGACGTACGACATGTATCAACCAATGCAAGCACTCATCAGGGACTACCTGTACATTCAGAAAACAGAACCAAATAGCACAGTGGGGGTTTCTTTATAAACACAATCAGACAGCAGACATGGTCTCTTCTCTCAATGCTTAAAAGGCTTCTTAAGAAATGAAACAATTACTCCGAGTACTATTAAAACGTAGTACTGGAAAATAGGAGGCCACCTTTCACCTTCATCAGTACAGTACTAGGGTACAGTACCGTATATTGGGCCCACACCAACTTTTTAGCCCTCGTACTCCGTATCCTCGTGCGTGGTATTAAAACTCCATAATTATCCCTACATGTACACTGTACTCAGCGGCCTCAGCATTCGGCTCACCGCTCACCATGCTGCGCATTCTCGTTATCGGTAAAAAGTTCGTTTTCCAAGAGATCTGATGTTTCCATGTACACCTATTTTAATGGGAAGCGATTTCTTAGCTCACGCGTTTTCATTGGAATATTACAGTCATACCTGAAGGATAATCTAGCTAACTAGTTTTAAGAAGCAGAGCGAGTCATTTTACCTGGATGCTCTGATCAGTTCGATACAGTACTATTCCTTATATAGTACGGTTCGTCCTGGTACTCAGTTGAACAGTACGGGAACGTGGCTCCATCGTCATCCGGATTGAATAGTTTTTTTCCTGCGTAGATCATCACATAGCAACCGACGATTCCACAGATTGTGGAGATCGTGATGCAAATTGCCTTCTCCCCCATCGGAATCTTCCTCCAAAACACCTTAGCGTAGAAAATAAGCGGCAGGATCAAACTGCACACAGTGATGGCAGTGGCACCAGTAAAGTCCACCAAGTCGAGGAAATGGTCCTTCAGCAGGATAGAGGCCACAGCTAGAATCGCTATCAAAGCGATACGCACCAGGACGTAACGAACCACATTCACGCTGCCCTTGTACTCAGAGAGGTCATCTTCAGTTTTCGTCCTCGACTCACGCACCGAGCACTGGTTCTGAGCACCAAGCGTGTTGTTCTCGAGATCGGGGACGGCAGATGCAGGGGTCGCCGCACCGAGGTACGACATCTTCTCCTCAATCTCAATCTCACGCTCCTCGCTGTCAGTAGGAAGCGTGTCATCCTTGTGCATCCCCAACACGAGACGCTCCGCCATGTAAAACGCCGGGTGTAGAATTGTCGAGAAGGCGATCGACAGATGAAGCTGCATGAATAAGTAGGACATGACCACTGCTCCCCGGTTCGCCGTAAAACCCAGAGTGGTGGTGCTGTAGGGGTCGGACGTGTTCACGATCGAAAAGAGCAGATTACCGGAGAGCTGGCACCCACCAGCAACGTAGCCGATAATAGCGATGGCGAGAAAGAAGGCCGAGGCAAGACCCAGGCTGACGACAATGACACGAGGCATGCGCTCGGGCTGTGAATGCTGTCGCTGGAGGTCGGGGATCACAATAGCAGCGGCGTACGCGAGAGACAGGGTTACGAATCGTGGTGCAGCCCCTGTTGAAGAGTACCTGCTGGGAGTTGGGCGGGATTGTATGTGGCGCGCTTTTTCGTTACAAGAGATTTCGCAACTCCCGATGATAATCAGCGATGATAATGTCACAGGCATCCCCTCCACAACCTATGCAGGCACTCTCTTTCAGAGTGGGGATCAACGCCACAGTGATGACCATTGCAGCCATGAAGATGATCCCACACGGTTTGTCTGACCGAATCGGGACAGAGCACGTCGACAGCGTACCACCAAGTACGAGGAATGCGCAGGGAGCAAGAAGGCAAACGCCCATGTGGGAGACTACCACAAAAAAACGGCCCCACTTGCCGGCGACCCACTCGCCGAGGTCACCGTAAGTCTTCACAGAAGATGGGGCTACCATCAGCACCTTTGACAGCAGCACGGTGGCGTAGATGTTCGATACCGCCATGAATAATAACGCGACGGTCGCGTAACCCCAGCCGGCGCGAGCGTAGTTGGACGGCATGCCGAGTGAGCCGATTCCGCAGATACAGCAAAAAATGTTGAAAGCGATCTTCGCATCCTCAAGCGTGAAGAGAGGGGATCGCACGGCCGAAGGAGAAGAAGAAGCTGACATTGCAAGTGTCAGTGGAACCGGAAATTGGGCAATGAGCCTCAGACAGAACTGGAGTAGGTATGCGCATCAGCCAGCAGCAATTTCTTGTGTTTGCGCAATGGTTTGAAGACTGCGCACCTCCCTTCGTCCGTCTACACGCATTGCTGCAGACTGCAGTGCAGTTGTCGCAGTGCATCTCGCACTGCACAGACTGTGCCACAGTGTGCAGCAGTGCACGGGAATACAACATACTGTACAGTTACTGCATTAATAGCAGTACATTACCCTATGGGGCGGAGAGCCCGGCGTGACCTGTTCTACGTTCGCTAAACCGAGACGTAGACCAGCGAAAGCAATTCAACTTGTATTGTACATGTATACTGTGTTAATCTGGTGCCGTACCAACCTCCGAATTCAGGAACGCTCTCATAAACCTGCGAGAACGCGGCAGCAGGCGCTGCTTTCTGTCAGCCAGCAGAATGTGAACTTGGCTCACAACGTCGGACTAGTCGTTTGCTCACATGGCTTAGATCCCGTCACAAATAAATTCAGTCTCATCGCGCAAAAGCATCCCCAAATCTGTCGCCGAATGGTTACAGTACATGTACCAACGTACAGTTCATGTACGGTACATGTGTATTTTACAGTAAAGACTGTCTTACTCCTCAATCAGATATAGCAGCATATCGTGTTACTCAGGTCGTCTTCAGTAAACAGGTCGTTGCTAGGGTTAGAAGTTCGGTTGAAGGAGCCAATATCACGCATAGGAACGAGGTGAGGAAGCATGCCGGTGTAAAGAAGCATAACATGCAAATGTACTTCGCTGTGCGTTTCCAGGTCTCAGGTTACCGTACCGGTACTAACACTGTACAATCCACTATTTATATACGGAGCAAATCAAGCAAATCATCTTGAATTGTCAAAATAACCGGAAATGCCAGAATGTGTAGGGGGAGACAAACGTTTTGACAAAAGGTGAAAGGTGAGCAAAAAAAAGCCGGTTCTTTATGTAGTGATTTGTTCGCCACAATGTGTACCGAAAGAGTGTACCTCTTTCGGTACCGATTTTACAGTGCGGGACTACAGTACAGACAACGACGGAGAAATCCGCCACACTATAAAAACACGCCCACCAAAAGTTTAAGTTCGGTATTTAAGTCAAATATTTTATCCAGCAACATTAGTGGTTCTCACGGTTAGAAGGTACGAAGGTTTCGTAAGCCAATCAAATCAAACCTTCATTGTTCAACTGTGAGCAGCGTGTGCAGGGGCTACTGACAGTCGCAGCCAGTGACTTCATTGGTAAGTGAGCGCTGAAGGTGTGAATGGGGCGATCTCTACGAGCAGCGCTGCTGCTGCACCTACAGCACTCAGCTCTAAGCTATCTGCTTTGTGACCAGGGAAGCGAGAACGACGAAAACGAAGACGATATGTTCTACTGCGCGATAGTCTCCCACCGCTACATGGGTCGTCCAGACGTCGGGAAATGGAGCCCTGAACGGATATTTTTGCTTGATACCGTTCGCCAACCAATCAAATCAAACATTCTCCTAGTCGTTTGCACCAATAACATTATACCTTCACTTCTTGGCCAAACCTACCGAGTTTTTTTAGTAGGTTTTAGTTGAAAAAAAAACAGGACAGGAAGGTTTGATGTGATTGGCTGTTCAAATTTACCTGCCAACCGTGAGACCCAATATTGCTGAGTTTACCTCAGCACACTAAAAAGAATGAAGATGCGATGGTGGAAACGCACTGGCAGTTTGCTGTTAAGTTTTGGAATGAGTTTGGATCATTTCCACTGAGCGCTATCTACAACGTTGACGAGACAGCAGTCATGCCACCTCTCAAAATTTGGGCTGAGCGAGGAAGGAAAGGGTCGGCCAAAGTAAAACGCACGCATAAGCACCCGGGCCGACTGACGGCAGTCATTACTGCTCGTGCTGATGGTAAGTTTTTTTCTACGCTGTACTGTACAAATCTGAATTAATTTAAACTTTTTATGTTAGGTTAAAAAAAAGCTCCCATTCTTTTTATAATTCGCGCGACGCCCGGCGGTACAATCGAAAAAAGAGACGAGTTGCCGACGTATCCAGCTGAGCATATCTACACAGTTCAAGAAAATGGGGAGATGGGCTCAAGAGTTTGGTCGTTTTAGATTCGCGAGCTGCTACGTTACGAAATTGACACCCCATCAGTTCTTATTTTGATGTTCACGTATCAAAATAGGGCATTGATGTAGTTGCTGAAGCGACGTCAGCTTTGGCTTGTTTAGCTACCCGCCAACAGTACTGCTGTCTGCCAACCCTTGGACGTCGGGGTCATGGGGCCTCTCAAGAAAAAAATAACGGCTCTCTGGGTGACCGAGACCCGCAAACCAAAACAAAAGAGGAAAGAGTGCGGAATGCGGGCTTGTTGAAGGCTGCGCGTGCAAAAAAGAAGTGCGAGTGCCAAGATAAGTGTGTGTGCTGTTCTAAGTGCGGGCTTGAAGAGGATTGCATCTGTTGGTATCAGTGCCAGTGCTGGGATAAGTGCTTGTGCGGCGGTGAATGCCTATGAAACGAGGAGTACATGTGTATTATCGACGAAATCGACGAGATGCCACAACACGTTGCATGACGTGATAACTCAGGAGGAAGAGAAGAAGGCCACCGCCAAGCGTAGAAGGCAACACCAAACAACTACAGAGGAAAAGAGACGCTCTACCATTGCGAGAACGATCAAGGCTTAAAGTCAGATGTCATAGTACAACGTTTTAAGAAAGCAATACCTAAAATACCAATGTAGAATTCTAATATAAAATTTTCTTCCTACTAATCTTATCAAATGAGTTTGTTTATTTGCACCGAAGCTCTGGGTTTTCGACAATTAGACTAAAGGGCGGGTTTTCTTGTCTCTGATGGCACCAACTGATTTATATGGAGGATGTTACTTAGATAGGGGTGGATTTCTCCGTCGTTGTCTGTACTAGGGCCTGCAATAAGCGGCTCTGTATTGGTGTTTGGTGGCGAATCAAAATTCCGTCTAGGAATCTGTTGTGCTCTATATTTTCATAATCAAATATTATTTTGCGGTAAAAATTGCTAAACAAGTCAAGGTTGTTTTTGCTTCCGGTACAGATTGTACTGTACGATTATATGGGCGTGGAGCCTTGCCAACAGCAGTGAACAATGAAGAAAGTGAGCGGTTTCAGCGACGTCGGTGGATGGGCGATCGGCTAGACCGGACGCATCTGGTCAGCATATCCCAGTTGCGCTTGTATCTGCTACTTCCATGTGTCTTCCTAGTACTGGGTAGCACTCCACTCGACGGACCGTTCCCGGACTCGTTCAGCGAGAACTTCGGGATTATTTCATGGCCCTCACGCCGTGAGTTACGGCCGTGTCAGTCTGTTCGTCCCGACTGTCAAGGTATCGCGCTCATCGAATGCGTGGGAAGTATTATCGCTGACGTGGTCGGTGTTTGGATCTTGGAGTGGAAAAATATGGGGCCGCTGCAGGTCCGGGATCAGGATGGTGACGCTGTACGGGAGGAATTGGTTGCCGAATGCGGCCAGCACCTGGTGCAGCGAGATGTCGGACGACGGAGTGACCCGGTGGTCGCGGGTTCAGCGTCATCGAGCGCACCGCGGTGAACGTGGAGAGCAACGGCTTCTCGGGCGTCGATACGCGGTCGAACTCTGCGAAACCTGAGCAGGAGGAGAAGGAACAGGACGATGTCCAGCTCTCGTACTACAGCGGCTCTGCCAACGTGTATACTATGTCACGTCTCTTCATGACGATCCAGGTGGACGTCGCTATCGGCTTCTCACTTCCGTGACCTGGTGGATTCCACGGGTGCCGACCATTATCGTGTGCTGGCTGGCGCTGCTGCTCGCGTTCTACCGCAAGGTTTTCTGGCGCGACGTGTCGATGTACGAGTGCGTGGTGGTGGCTGTGCTGGTCGGTGTGTGCACTGTCGCGAGCTGCTTCGTGTCTAGCAGAGCTGGACAGGAACAGCAAAATCGTGCAGACTCGAGTAGTTTTTTAAGTTAATTTCTCGCACGTCCTCAGATACAATTGGGGAGGTTCTCTCATTGGTTGAAATATACATTTACCAACGACTGCCAGGCATTGTGTGGAATAATCGAGTTGAATTTGCACAATGACAATGCGTTGGAAGCGCCAACCTTGTCAACAAGCATTTAAAAATACAAATCTTACGTGCTTTGGATACGCTGGCTTCTGTGGTATATCGTGTATTCACTGTGTACTGGTTGATCGATCCTCGTCGTTAGTACACTTTCCTTGGCAGCAGTGGATGGACGGTCGTTCCACGGAAGAATGACCAAACAAGTGGACGTGTTGGACTCGGCACAGGCGCCCTCGGCTGCCTCCGTCTTCCCTCTCCGACTCAAACCAGACACCAGATTTGGTACGGCTCTGCCTTGTTGCATGACTCTTGCTTTCGAGGAGAATGTGGCAGTATTGACGACCATCTGTATCGACGGCAGCGTGGCAGCTATAAGCCACCGATGCAGGGCTCATAAATACTGGGCAACCGTAACACTGTCGGCGGCGCTGAGTACGGCGCTCCCGATGGTGATAGTTGGTTCAAGTCGCAAGGACCGCACTCTCAAGATGTTATGCCAAGTGATTGACGGCACGGGACGTAGAATGATGGGCTCTGGATGGGCATACCTCTGCTTGACGGGAATGGACAAGATGAGGTTGAGTGACAACAGTAGATTGAAACTAAGAGATCGTAACAACGAGATAAACACGATCACTTATGTGGGGAGTGAGATAGCTGTCGGTGCGATGGACCATCGGATTCGGAAGCCTGCCAAGTAGTGGTGGCGGCACCGACCGCTGACAACCCTTGTGTGGAAACTAAGCCTCTCTTCGTTAGCCCGGGCACGAAACTTTGTCAATCTTCGTGGTGATAGACGTCGCAACGATCGCCAGCACTCTTATTCGACTATGTAGACACAACCACGCTATACATTAGCTTTACCAATATTTATGTACAATACCCGTCACTACGATGTACGGACGACGGTTGGCCAGAGTAACCACCGAAGCCGCTACGATATGTCGTGCCAGAGTAATAGCTGCTACCAATACGGCATTGAAACTGGACCACAATTGCACCAAAGCCTACGGAAAAGGTTATACTGAGCGTCGTCCCGGGTAGTATTATTCACCGCGCGACCAACTGTATCATTCTGGTACGCTATGCGTTGACATCTCGCTACTAACGGGCAAGAACGGATTACGACCCTGGTTATCGTTGAGAGCGTGAACGGCCGCTTCCACGGCAGGGTACAGACGGTGTACTCTGCAGTGCGAATGCTCTGAGCATTACGAACGTGTTCACTACAGCGCAAGACGACGTGCCACCGATTGTTGCTTCAGGAAAGAATGGAGTGGACGTCACGACGTAGGGGTAACAGCTCAGCTTCTCGTCGGTAGGCTTCCGTTCGTACGTGATCGATTGACGGTCTAGCGCCGGACACGTATCTCGCACGCGTCGCAGGATATACTACATAGTCATAGCGCAGTCTTTAGATCGTTCCAAGAGGCGACGGATGCTAGCGGGTTGCTGATGATGGCGCATCCTCCGGTCGCCCCTCGGCTACCGTTGAAGCGCTTCTACAACTTGAGAGTTGAGTTGAGGTATCGAATGCGGTTTGACGGGCGTGGTAGACTCTGGCCGCGATACAGAAGTGTCCGGTGTCTCTGGAGGGTATCTGGGGTATATATCGGCTCGACTAGTTGTCAAAAAGCACAGTGCGGGCAAACGCGTTGCGTCTCCGTGGTCGAAGCCGCTTCTGATGATGATCCACAAGGGGGTGAAGCAGCTCACAACGGTTTGAGAGAATTTGGAAACTGATACTGGTCTCAAGTTCAACATTGACCGCATAACGCTCTCTGGTTACCCTCGAGTTGAGACAAGGCCCGTACGCTCTTCGATTACGTACTGGATTGTGGGCGACACGTCGCTGAAATTCGACTTTGAGTCAGCCGAGCAGGACGCAAAGAAAGCTGATGTATAAGATCCGTGCATACCGGAGCACCTGCGCGGAACGAAGTGTCAGCGAAGGACGGGCAGCCGGCTGGTGAGTAAGTTGAAGTTGGTTCTGGACGTGAGGACCGCCAAGTACGACCCCCACGCCTGAGTAGTGTCGGCCAGCGCCAAAGGATGAGTGACTGGTATCAATGAGTAAGGGGTGGGCGTCCATGACTCAGATCGACCACTCGGCGACGAGCAGTCAGTAGGCGATAATAAAGTTGAGTGACGAAACGGGCAGCTGGAAGATCGTGCCGGGCCCGGGCAATCGGCTGGAGCCGCTCAGTTTGTAATCTGTGGGGTCGAGTGCAAGTGGCTGATCTACAGTAGTAAGAGTGACGGCGGACTTGAACAACGAGAACGAGAACCAGTAGGTGTCGGTAGCAGAAGCGCTACCGATATGCTGTGAGTGTGAGGACTAGCCGGACAGTGCGACGGGGCAGGCGTGGAGTCTGGCAGGAGTAATTAATGTCACGAGACCTAGTGCAGAAGCTGAGAGAAGGCTTAGCGTGAGCCTCAAGAAGCGTGGAGTCTGGCAGGAGTAGCCCCGGTTCAGCGGTTCCGGTGCGTGAAACTGAGAGAGGCTTGGCGTGGGGCCCTGGGTCGCGGCGCACGAGAATGCGAAGGACGAGCACGTGTAGTTGGTAGAAAGTGGCTGTGAAAACGGAGTCACGGACTCTGCGTGAAGTCAGAGCACAGGAGAACTGACGGGCGGAAAGACTCTGGAAACGGAGCAAACGGAGAGTGTTTAATAAATAGATGCGAACACGAAAGTGTACGTGCCGGCACGGTGAAACGGGCCTACAAGTGTTAATTCTATTTGCGTGACGGGCGCCTTCGTCGGACCTGGACATACCCAGTCAGCAGACACGCGAGCATACGACACGCTCAGCAGGCGAGCGAGATAACTGCCCTGTTACACTGCTTTACGGCCCATGGACGTGTGTGCACCGCTCAGCTATTTATACATGCGCTGCTGCTTCACTATCACTTCAATCTTCCTCTAGTGGCTTGTGGGGGGGGGCTGAGGAATAGGCCACAGACCGTGTCCAAGGCTGCATCGATACGTCTGTGTCTAAACAACGCCCATTGGGTATGTATACTCAGAAGGGTCGGAACCGGCCAAAACGACCATTATCATCACGATGGGCGATATCGTCTGCGGCCCAAGCCTCTTCAGCGTCAAGATGGAAGGTATGTACGAGCTTTACGATCCTGAGGAGTCGCCCACGCTGAGTCCGCGGAGTTTTGTACAGAACCGATTGAACCAGAAGCTCTTTACCTAGAGCTTTGCGAATAATGATATTTTTACACAGAAGGTTGACATGCTCCACAAGCGGAACGTGGAGGAAGTGAAACAGCTGCATCTAGCATTAGTAGATGGTCAGACTACCGTACAGCGCTGTGTCACTTTGGCTCGTTGAAAAGGGTGAATCAGTGGAGCAGAGTCAAAACTGCGTGTCATTTTCGCTCTCGGAGGACTGGGGCACCAACGCCGATAAGAACAACCCTTCATTCGCCACCCCGATCAATTCGGCGGGGGAACTCTACTTGCCAGTCTACTCGTCTGTGCGTCAGCGCTACCTTGTCTTCTAATCCAGTGGTTTGGTGGCTTACATGTACGGGGTATGTGGTTTCGATGGATGGGTCGTGTGCTCCCCCGTAGGGTATCAAAAACTACACGGTTCGGTGATGATGATGAAAGGTGGCTTTCTCCATGCATTTTGTTCTAATTTTTTTCTTTCTCTATCGAAGCCTACGAGAGATCATGTCTGCCATCTGACTGTGCAAAAAAGTACAGCTGGGCTATTTTGTTTTGGATGTAGCCCCTGATGTGTGCGGGTAGTGGTTGATGCATGTCATACGTCGTGTTGGGTCTACGTAAAATTAGCCGCCTGAAGTCGCGATCTCGTCGGTTTTCTTAGACAATTGTAAGCAATGTGTGTAGGGGTTGTCGTAGCGACAGCAGGCATTTTATCATGCTCTTCGTTTCTCCGCGCGTCTAAAGTTTGCTTAGCCTTGCGTTCAAAGTAACTATCCGAAGTAGCACCTTTTGTGGATAGGTAGCCTCCTCCAACTCATGAATGATTATTACCACCTCGTATGCGACTAATTCTTCCAGCGCTGGGAAGAGTAAACATCCGGCTGATTGTGCCGTCCATGTGTCTTGGGACTGGTTTCGGTACAGCACCCAGCCTCCAGAGACAGTATCGCGAGCTTCACGTATACGCCGTTTACAGGACTGCACCCAGCTAGACGAGTCGTCCATCTTCAGGAGCGGAGAGAAGACGATTTCCTTACAGTAATACAGCAACCAGTTTGGGGCAAGCTGTCCATTGTTGGTTATTGAAGGCATGCCTTGCTGAGTCTCACGCAGTGAGTCGAGGTTAGGCAGCCCATGGAGTGGTTGGGTGGGTGTTAATAGGTGGGCGAGCCAGGACACGAAGAGCTGTCGGCCGTTGGGTTGCTGGAGGCCGTCGACGAAACCCCGCGAATGGTCGGCAGCTCTCCAAGAACGACTGCTATTCTAGCTGATTACTGCTACATTCGACCGGGGACAAAAAAGGTACCGTTTGTATGGCCCGAATGAAAACGGTTGGCTTGAATGGGCAGCTATTCCTACCGGACGTTGACGACGAATAGCTTGCTGACTTGATTGTCCTCGAGTGCTGGCAAACGTGGTTGTCTCCTTTTGCAGAAACAAATAATTACCATCTTCACTGGAATTAACGATGACCACCACAATCAAGTCCGGTGCGTGGCATGTGTTTGGTTCAATCCATCGTTAAAAAAGAAACACCACGTCAAGCTCCGGCTTTCGTATTTGGACGCTTCCAAGAAGTAGACGAATAAGCATGACATCGGTTACGTCAGCTAAGTGGGTCCCATTACCATGTGGGTGCTCAGTGATGGCGAGAAGCAGCTTTTCGCTGAGCTAGCTTCCTAGTCGTTGTTGAAGATGCAGAAGTGCGCGAAAAAGGAGTTGTAGCTCCGCTGCTTAGAACGTCATGACTCCGAGGGGTCTCGCGCTCGATTGGTTCCGCACTCGTTTCTAAATGGACTCTCTCAAGAAGTGCTTTTCGCGGCTGGGGATGTTATCAAAGTGCAAAAGACTACTGCTTTACTGGAATGGACGTTCTTGGTGCTGCATCACCAAGTGAACCACATGTTCGCGACTGCCAGGTTCCCTGTGATATTGAGTTCATTAAATACCGGCTACAGCGACAAGTAGATGGGTAAGGAACCGTTCTTGAAGCTGGTGTTTGATGCCAATATCGAGGCTCGTATGGGAACCTACATGCAGGAGTTCAGTCTCGGCGATCTGGAGGTGAAAGTGGATATGGTCACGCTGGTGGAACCGTACTTCCTGTCGACGCCAGCGCGGCCCATTGCTCACGACAGACGCTAAAAAGCATGCTGCATCGTCATGCGCCACCGATGCCTGTGATGCTGGTGACGGGGGACGGCGGCATCCAGACGGATCTCGTGTACTTTGACATTCTTCGTACTTTTGTACTGTCAGTGGATTTGGAGTATTCGATCACGCGTAAGGATATCATATCGTCTACGGGCGGAGGCCACTCGATGATCTCCGGTTCCTATGCGAGATCATTGGGCTCAGCGGATAAGTTTGTAGGCGCATTTTCGGATGACACGTCGGATCCTACGGTGTATTCGCTCACTGATAATGCTGGGAGTAAGTTTGCGGAGGACATTGGTCGCGGATTCACCTGAATTTTCACCAAGCCTGTTGAAGGAACGATTAAGGGTGGCGTTACTGGAGTTGCATAAGGCATGATGCCGGGTATCGCTGGCCCCGGCGTCGCCTTACAAATCCCAATTGTGCGTTTGTTGTGCAGTCAACAGTTGCTGATCTCTCTCCGTTGGGCGGTGATCATCGCAAGTCGAAACCTGTTGAGAATGGGAAGCTGATCGCAGATGTTGCCATAGAGCATCACAAACTGGCGTGTTAGGAGTCGAGTGTGCTGGGGGCTAACGGGCTAGGCTCGCTGTGTGTCGTACGTATCTACTGCGTGGAGAAGGTAAATGATCGACTATTCGCAAGGGAATGCTCGTAGTTGGACTGCCCCGGGTAGTGATGACGACAGGACAGATCGGTATTGTGTGGAATGGAACCATGGCGCTGGGTTTTCACGTCAACGTGGAGATAATATCGAGACCCAGACGAGCGTGGTGTCGAACTCGCTATCCAATGTCGTCAACAAAGCTGAGGCGGAGCTGCCGCAGCTTTAGCGTCAGAGGAAGGCGTTCAGCTCAAATAGTCACTAATACTAAGTTTTTTATCCGACGGACACTTACAGCCCATGGCCAGGGCTCAAAGTTAATAACGTAGGTTTTTGCTTCAAAACCAGAGGTGGTTTATTTACTATTATTGCGGCCAAGCCACCTAGGAGTAAATGTATCTGTTTAACTATCTACCATACTTAAACCCAATCAAATACCTGATGTGTGGCTTTCAGACAACGTACTGAGAGACCTTGTTACCTCTCCGACTTATGTACTGAAAGTTTGTTAGCTCTCCGGAAACTCCGTACCCCTGTGTGTTCCACACCATGTAGCCTCGTTACACCCTTCCCCACTAAGATGCAAACACTTCGCTCTCGAAACTTCCTCAGCGAGGTCAGTACGGTGGAGGTCACTAGACCTCACTTCTGCGTTATGCAGCTCCAAAAGCTCACAAACGCTTTCGCATCCTTGATTTCTGGCACCTTGACTCCGCACCCCATCCCCGCGTCTCCAGCGCGTCGCGCCACCCTTAACCTAAAGGTCCCAGGCCCACGTCTGCGTTCCGCAACTGCTCCAAGAGCGTCGTATTTTTCTGTTTCTGTGGCGGAGTACCACCAAGCGTATCACCACCGACACGGACTACGCTCCATGAGACGTCAATACGAAAATAGCAAAATTCAAGGCGCAAGTGCCCGACATCGTCTTCCGCTGTTGTCGCTCGCCATGTGTTGAGAACGACACGTTCACGCTCGAAGCGGTTGCGCAAATCATAAGGGACCTTTTAAGCGAAATGAATGTGGGGGTCGACTTGATGGCAATGTACACTAGACTGCTCTGTCAGCTGCAAACGATGATTCGCACCGAGCGCTTCACCTTAGCGCCGTAAAATAACACAGTCCCTCTCGTAGTCCTCGCATGAAATTGAGCTTTAAAAGTCGTAATTAAACACACTGGGTTAGCATTTTACTTTCCAAAGGGACTCCCTAATTCAAACAAGCGCAGCCCCAACGTTAGCGCGTACCCACTAGCAGTAATCCCTATTTTTAGATACGTAAAGGCTCGCAAACGCAGGTCGTGCAGCCTAGAACCCGTATACATTGGACGTGCTGGACAGCGCAAGACCCACCCAAACAATTCGGCCAATCGTAAGCTCAGCACATCGTCATTGTTGCTACCTCTTATGATTATCGGGGAGGTAAAACAAATCCGAATACAGTCAACCGACTCAGGAGCGATATCAACTACAAGTGATATCAAGTGCAGCCGGGCGGCCGTAGCTTTAGCGTCAGAGAAATATATTCAGCCCAAAGAGTCACTGATACTAAGTTCCTTATCCGAAGGACACTTACAGTCTACGGCCAGGGCTGAAAGTTAATACCGAAACTTTATGGTTCAAAACCAAAAGTGGTTTATTTACTATTGTTGCGACCAAGCCACCTAGGGGTAAATGTATCTGTTTAACTATCTAACATAGTTAAACCTAATCGAATACAAAATGCGTGGCTTTCAGACAACGTACTGAGAGACCTTGTTACCTCTCCGACTTATGTACTGTAAGTTTGTTAACCCGCCGGGTACTCCATACCCATGTGTGTTCCACACCATA